CCCCCTGTCCCGGTACAGTCTGAGATGAAGCTTGGGCAGCAAACTTCAGCCTCCGCTGGCTATAGGCCCAGGCCCAGCCCCTACAGAGAGCTGGCCCTGTAGCTCACCCCCTGCCTGCGCTCCAGCTAGCCCCGCCCCTGTATCGGCCCGCCCCCAGGACAGCCCCGCCCCTGCTCCTCCAGGGGACTCTTCTTAAGGAGACTGCTCACATGAGGGTTTCCACACCTGTGCAACGAGGCCCGCCCTGGGTGCCTTCTTGTAATGGCCTCTGAGGCTTCTCCTTGCCTTGGGCCACCCCCAGACTGCCTGTGGGTCCGGAGGCCTGGCATCTACGAGGACGAGAAGGGGAGGACCTGGGTGACTGTGGTCATTCGGCTCAGTCCTTCCCAAAGAGCTCGCACCAGAGGCTCTTCTGGCAGCACAGTGAGTCCTGGGGCATGAGGGGGCACTTCAGCTGGACCAGTGTGAGGCTGCGATGCGGGTAGAGGGGGCTGTTCTCGCTTGAGCTTTGTGGTCCTGGAGCATAACAATTATACACGTCTGACCCGACCCCAGCAGCCCTTGCCTGGACGGACCACAAACACGTGTATTCACGGAAGTTGGTGCAACTCCAGATGTTGAGGCCTAGGCGAAGGTAGAGCAGCACTTAGTCCCGCCTCAGTGCATGCTGAGAAGGCTTCACAGAGAGGGCAGTTTTTGAAGAGGGGCTTTGTGGGGTGGGTAGGAGTTGAGTAGGTTCAGAAAAGAGGGCAGACTGGCATAAGCCAAAAGGCTTTGCGTCATGGAGGCCACAGCAGGCCAGCAGTGTGAAAGTGATGTAATATACCTCTATGGTGAGTTGCAGACAGGCTCATGACTTGACTGGCCTGGGGATGTATCTGATGAGAGTCACAATCCTACCTCTGGAAGTGGCATGGGAAGCTTGGGCGGAGTCCCAGACCTTTGCGTTGCTAAAGCTCCCCAGGTGATAACCTTAATCATGCCACCTGATGGCCATCATCACTCAGGATGGGAACTGCCACCCCAGAGCAGGGCTGGGGAGCACGGCCCACAGTAACTAGCGTGTTTGGTAAAGGCTTATCCAACGATTGAAAATGCCACGTAGGCCATCGCAAACAACTCGCTGACATTTTAAAACCATATAATACATTTCCTAGCAATCCCCAAATAGCCTAACCTGAAAAACCTGGCGGAGAGCATTAAGTCTTCTCCAGCCCTCCATCAAACAAAGCATGCCTCAAGTCCTGAACTAAATAGTTTATTACATTTTCTAAGCGCCAAGAAGAGTGTTCTACGGATTAAGATGTATGGTGGCTTTATGAAAAACACCATGATGGTTCCTCAGGAAAAAAAAAAAGAAGATAGAATGACCATGCGATCTGCAATTCCACTCCTGGGTATGTGCCCAGGAGAACTCAAAGCAAGGACTTGCACAGGAATTTGTACACCCACATTCACGGCAGTCCTGTTCACAAAGCTGAAAGGGCGAGGCAACCACGTGTCCACTGGTGGACAAATAGAAAGACAAGTATATGCAATGGCGTATCGTCCCTCAAAAAGGGACACGCTCCTGACATACCCATGAAGACAATGTGTGCTAAGTGGAATAAGCCAGTAGCAGAAGGGCGCATTCTCTGTTCCCACTTATTCGAGGCACTGAGAGTAGTCACATACATAGAGCCTGGAGGCAGCGGTGCGGGCGGCGGGGGCGCTGCAGGTGGGAGAGCGGGGAGTTGTTTGCTAATCGGTGTGCAGTTTCAGTGTGGGAAGTGGAAAAGGTTCTGCAGAAGGATAGTGGCGATGGTTGCGCCTGTGCATATATGGGTCCTCGGCAAAGTCATGACATAGTTTTCTATGCAAAAGTGCGTCATGACGTGCCCTATGACCCAATACTTAAGGTCCCTGAATTGTACACTTCAAAACAGCTAAAACTGTGTGAAAAAAATTCAGTGGGAAAGAAGGAATTTTTAAAGTAACTTAGCCATGGGTATGGGAGTGGACACGCACATAGTAGTACATTATCTTATTTAAAACCACTTTTAAAAGTATAATGGATTAGTGTTTTCACACAGAGCCTGGGCTAATGCATTAGGGTGGGTCAGCGTTTTCTGTACGGGTCTGACAGTAAACGTTCTTGGCTTTGAGGGCTGCAGTAAATGTTCCGCCATTACAACTCAACTCTGCCACTGTTGTGCGAAAGTGGCTGAAGACGACATCGAGGAAGGAGTGTCCCCTCCTTTTTCTTTCTTTCTTTCTTTTTTAAGAGAGATTTTTGCTAGAGGAAGCATGTGCTTAACAGACAGACAGAAAGTGAGAAATCATCCCCCAAGGGGGATGGCCCCGCGGCAATCCTTTCTCTCTTCAATTCTCCACTTGGGATTGTGGTCATGCATGCCCCCGTGCCCTGGGTCCGAGACTTGAACCACAGTTGACTACGGGGGAGCCCAGTGACATAACCATTATACCATCTGCAGGAGTGTCCCTTTATTTACAGCAGAGCTTGGTTTACAGAAGCAGACAAGAGCCCGGTGGGCCGTGCTCCTGGTTTTGCTGAACCCAGAGCTTGTCAGAGCCCAGCAAGCAGGAACATCCCCATGGTGTAGCTTAGATCTCTCCTTGCAGAAGCAGCCCACAAAGATAACATGTATGACTACAGAGGGCTAAGACTCAGAGACCTCGTCACAAAGAAGACAAGGACTTTGGTGGAAAGCTCCAGAGAGGACTTTCTGTTTTGTCACATGTGGGCTTTTGGCTGTGGATTCCGGAGACTCGGCCTTTCACTCTGTACATTTATGTACTGGACACACATCTTTATCCTCTTTCTTTTTTTTTTCTTTTCTTTTTTTCTCTTTTTTTGCCATAGGGTGCATGCACTTGCCAGAAAGACAGAAAGAGACAGAGAGACAGAAAGTGAGAAATCAACCCCCTGGGGGATGACCATGACACAATCCCTTCTCCTCCATTCTCCTCTCGGGATCTTGGGCATGCACGCACACGTGCCCAGCCTGAGTTTAAGCCAGCGGGTCCAGGATTTGAACCGCGTTCAACTACATGGGAGTCCAGCGACATAGCCATTATGCCAACTGCTGGTCCCTATTCTCTTTCATTAAAAAAAAAAAAATTGCCAGGGGACCAGCAGATGGCATAATGGTTACATTGCTGGACTCCCCTGTAGTTGACTGCTGTTCTAGTCCCAGACCAGGCAACTTTAAACTCATGCCAGGCATGTGTGCATGTGTGCTCAAGATCCTAAGAGGAGAATGGAAGAGAAGAGATTACGGTATGGTCAACCTCCCTGGGGGGTGATTTCTCCCTTTCTGTCTCTCTCTGTCTCTCCAGCGAGTACATGCACCTTATAGCAAAAAAAAAACAACAACAACAAAAAAACTCTCTTTCAAAAAAAAAAAAGAAATTGCCAGAGGGCACATGCAGTCAACAGAGAGAGAGAGGGAGGAGGGAAGTGAGAAAGCACCCCTAGGGGCATGGCCACGCCACAATCCCTCCCCTTCCGTCAAGATTGTGTGCACTCGTGCACACACACCTAGGTGTGTTTCTCAAGCTGCTGGGTCTGGAGCGCAGACTGCACAGTTGGCCATGTGGGATCCAGCCACCTTAACCTCCACATGCCACCAGCTGGTCCAAACACACACACGCACGTGCACACGCACACACACAAGATGTTTCTTATAAATATGTGAGTCTTGATCAAAACTGTAATATATTTCTTTGGGAATACCCATAACTCCCAGACCCAGGGGTCTATGGATGTTTTGTTTTTAAAAGAACTTTTAAAAAACTACAAAATTGGCTGAGACGGCCCCATGAGTATAATCAGTATCGACCCCAGGTCGCCGACAGGCAGGAAACGGTGGCTCATTTTTTTGCTATTTATTTTATTCTTGGGTGTGTGTGGGGGTGGAGGCACCATTGGCAGGATCATGCTGCATGTGCCCCCCCCCCCCCAGCCACTCCCCCCACCCCCATGTGTTTCTGGCGCACCAGAACCCAAACCATGGCCCTCCACGTGGCTCCAGCACTGTGGAGTGGCACCTGCTGCTGCTGCCACTGTGGCTGGACCACTGTCAAAATGTCAGAGGGTGCAGTGGGGTCAGAGGGGAGGACCATGCCAGAGGGCCAGGAGAGCCCCAGTCCCTCTAGTCCACTTGCAACCCCCAGGTGACAGTGCCGGGCCCTAGGTCTGGGGTTCTGGAAGCATGCCCCTCTGACCTCTGACCCAGGCAGCCCAGAGGTGGGCTGGGGCATCCAGGAGTGTGGATGTCTGCATCCAGCCTGGCCAGCAGGGGAGCCCTGTCCCTGATGCGTCCCCTCCTCTCCTCCTTTCAGCGTGAGCCCAGCATTACGGTCCACATGTGGCAGATGCCAGTGCACCCCCAGAAGCCCCTGCGTCCCCAGGAGCCCAGCGAGCTGCCCCTTTCCCGCCTGCCCGTTATGTGGCAGCTCGAGCCCGGAAGAAGGTACCGAGCCACAGACTCCAGGCTCTGGGAGCTTGTGGACCACGGCCAGGCAAGTGTGTGGTGGCTGCGACGAGAGACTACTGTGGCCCCTCTGCACCCATTCCCGCCCTCATGGAGTGCTGGTCTTCCCTCTTACTCTGTTCAACACTTATTTCACAAGCTCTGACGGCCTGACTGCCATGGAGGCCTGTGGGCCGAGCGTGCAGGGTGGGCGCCCTCCGGGTTGAGGGGATCCCGCACCTGGCTCCATGCATCTGGCTGCAGGCTGCCCACTGCCTACCTGCTGGGAGTCATGTGGAGGGAGGTGCATCCCTGGGGTCCTCTGACTGCTCCCTCTTCTGCAGGTGGGCACCACAGAACAGATGGTCCTCACTCAGCAGCCACTGGGCACGGAGTAAGGACGGGTAGAGAGCAGACAACGCCGGGATGTCAGGCCTCGCAATGCAGAGATGAAGAAGGCAGGAAGACTCCTCTCTCCAGGAGGGCGGTGCTGGCCTCCCTCCTCTGCTGTTTCCTGAGCTTTTGTTTTGTTAACATAGTCACCTACACCCCTTCCCACCGCACGGACTTGACTGTCCACTGTGGACGGCCCCAGCTCTGTAGTGCACGAAGCATGGAATCTCACTGCGCAGGCGTCATTGAATTCTGTGGGGTACGCCAGATAACGTCCCATTGTTTAGAAGACTGAGGCTCCAGGAGCTAGAATAATTTCTCCCAAGATCAGAGAACCTGGAAATAGCTGTGACCACGCTCAGGTTCAGTGAACTCGGATCCCTAGTCTGACCATGGCTGTAGGGTGCCGTGTGGCAGTGCCTTTGAGGACCCAGCACTGACCCACAGCAAGCTTCTCCCTGAGACTGGGAGCAGCCTGAGCAGGCCCTGCAGGGGTACCCTCCAACCCCATCAGTGTGGACTGGCACCTGGTTCTGCTGAGGCTCGAGGGACTGTCTGCCTTGTCTTCTGGCCCCACTTCTTGGCCCAGGCCTCCTGGGTACCCTCGGGGCACCTTTATGCACCTGCTCTCTTGCTCACCCAGCATGGGCTCCTGGTGGGGCAGGAGGGGCCTGAGCCTGATCTGTGGCCCTCACTTTCCCTGAGCAGCAGTCCCACCCTTCCTCGCTTGGGTCTGTTCTTGGCCACCTGCCTGGAGGGCTTGCCAGGGGCCGGTGTGCATGGCCCATTTCCCCTGCGGGCTGCAGCCATGGGTGCTCTCCCCCCTCCTCTCATGCTGCTCTTTCTGAAGTCCCTCCACTCCATGCCCACCAGGCAGCTCATGGCAGGCAGTGGCTCCAGTCAGGGGGCAGCCTCAGCGGGAGCCAGGTCTAGAACAGGACGCAGCAGCCCCGAGGGCATCTGTTCTGCTGACACCTTGACCTAAAGTAGCTGGTCCCTTCTCCACCACTCTCCGTTGGATTTTGTGTACATGCACATATGTGTCTGGCATGTTTTTCAGGCCTCTGGGTCCAAGCAGCTGCCTTAACCTCCACAGCCAGGTGGTGTGGATAAGCCTCTTTCACCCACGCTTGAGTTTATACTCATGGCTTCTGGAGGATGGGGGCTGTGGCCAGAGAAACCAACCTGGTGCAACTTCCTGCCTACTCCTATCCCGGGGGTGGGCAAGAGAGAGGCAGGGATCAGTCACCAGCGGTCAGTGGTTTAATCAAAACTGCCTAGTGGACCAGCCTGTGGTGCCGTCTTTCACGTGGCTAGATTCCATGTGGCCAGATTCCATGTGGCCAACTACATGGTCCCAGTCTCGGACCTGGTGGCTTGAAAAACATGCTGGGTGCACAAAGCCTCTGGCCAAGGCAACAGAAGTAACACTGCGTGGTAATGGAGGCTCCATGAAGGCCCTGAATCGAGGGGTCCTGGAGCTTCCACTGGGAACACAGAGGTGCTGGGAGGGTGGTGCACCTGGAGAGGACATGGCAGCCCCACCCTCCCCCATCTTGCCTTGTGCCTCTCTCCCACTGGCTGTTCCTGAGTCATACCCCTTATAATTCCCCCACGCTTGAGTTTATACTCATGGCTTCTGGAGGATGGGGGCTGTGGCCAGAGAAACCAACCTGGTGCAACTTCCTGCCTACTCCTATCCCGGGGGTGGGCAAGAGAGAGGCAGGGATCAGTCACCAGCGGTCAGTGGTTTAATCAAAACTGCCTAGTGGACCAGCCTGTGGTGCCGTCTTTCACGTGGCTAGATTCCATGTGGCCAGATTCCATGTGGCCAACTACATGGTCCCAGTCTCGGACCTGGTGGCTTGAAAAACATGCTGGGTGCACAAAGCCTCTGGCCAAGGCAACAGAAGTAACACTGCGTGGTAATGGAGGCTCCATGAAGGCCCTGAATCGAGGGGTCCTGGAGCTTCCACTGGGAACACAGAGGTGCTGGGAGGGTGGTGCACCTGGAGAGGACATGGCAGCCCCACCCTCCCCCATCTTGCCTTGTGCCTCTCTCCCACTGGCTGTTCCTGAGTCATACCCCTTATAATAATCTGGCAGACATAGTGTGAGAGGAGAGCAGCCCAGAGCATCTGCGGAGTCCAAGCTCCATTAAACCGTAAGGGCCTCAGTGAAGTGTCAGTCTGAGACTCGGGTGACATCCCACACCCACCAGGGTTATCGCCCAGAGAGGCATGTTTCGGTTTGTGGTAACCACGCTGGCATGCTGCAAAGGGATTTGAGAATTCACAATGCAACCCCCCCCTTCTTCTTCCCAGTGTTCCTGAGTCCCTGACATAAAGATTAAGGTTCAGCCAGTCAGCTGCCTGCGTTGTTGAAAGGGGCCAACGTCAACCCCTGCGCTCTGTTACCTCAGTCAGCTTCCTTGGTTGCCAGTGGTTGAATCTGTGTCTGGGGAACTAGAATTTTGCTCATCTGGGTGATTTGTGCTAAGCCCCAGCTCAAATAAACCACTTTTATTTCACTTATGCTTTTTAGGCTGATAGTAACTAAATGTTTTTGTGTGTTCTCTCAAGTTACTGAACCCAAACAACAGGCTGTCAGAACTCGCCATTTACAGTGAGGTTGGACAGAAGTACATGAAGGCCAGACTTGAGGATGGTGTGTGTGTGTGTGGGGGGGGCAGTCTTGTGGGACTGAGCCTTACCTGGGGGTCTGTGGTAACCCCAGGAGGTGTCAGTCGAGCTCCCCTCTAGGACACCCACCTGGTGTCCGTAGAGAACTGGAGTCCTGCTGTGTGTGGAGAGAAGCTGATGTTTGCTGTCAACAGTGACGTGAATGTCCAGGGAACAGGGTTCTTCTTAGCTTCTCTCACCCAGTATTTTCTTGTCGGAGCTCAGGGAGGAGAATGCTGGGAAGATACATGGGCCTGCTCACTTTTCTCAAGCTCCTTCCCTCCCTCCCTCTCTCCTTCTCTCCCTCTCTCTGTCTCCTTCCCACACAGAGCAGGAACGGTGGCTGCTCTACTGCCCCCCCAGGTCTCCGAGCTCAGCTGTCACTGTGCTTATGGACAAGAAAAGGATCTGGAAATCTATTCTCAGGATGGTGGCCTGGCTGGTACAGAACCCAACCACACGATAACAAGCCAGACATCTCTGCATCTCCTTGGAACAAAGCCAGTGCTACCTGCCAGGAGGTGGGCGTGTAAGGCCTTTCAGGACAGAGGCTTAGTCGTGTAGACGGAAATAACCTACTCCGCAAAAGTAAGAATTAACGTGGTTTATTCCTAAGCACGAATTTGTGTGACCTAGGTCGGAGAGAAGGCAAAGCATCTCTCTCTCTCAGGGTGATCAGGTACAGGGGTTCCTTTTATTTGACTTTGAGACTGAGAGAATTTAGTGAAGAGCTTTCCATTGGCCTGGCATGTGGAAGCGGCGCTTGTAGGTTTGGGGAAGGAATGCGTAAAGGGTGTACTTTGGCAGTGGTAAGGGGGCTTGTACACAGTCAGAGGATACTGTCCCAAGGACAGGATGTTGGAAGAGTCCTGTTATCAATGCGTCACGCATTGCAGGGATGCTGTGCCAGGGACAGGATGTAGGAAGATTTTTGTTATCAAATGGGCCAAAATGGCCTGACTTATCCCAGGCCCTCTGAAAGGGATTTTAGAAATAAGAAAAAGCAGTCAGACTTCTGTCCTCAGTACTCCAGAGGGGAGAGAGGAAAGCACATTCCAGTGTTTAAGGCCCAGCCAGCTCCTGCATGATCCTGGAGCCACGTGAGAGGGCTGTGTTGGGGACCCAGGTCCACCTGAACACAGGAAGCTCACTGGGTGTGCCTGTGATCCTGGCTGGCCGAGAGGCTGGGGGAGACACTGTCTAGGGTACCTATCTCTCTCTCATGAAATAAACACACACACACACACACATTTATGGTCATGTTCATTACATACCTAGGATGGCAGCAAAGCCCTTATGTCTGACGTGCCAGTTAGACGTCATCAGTATCTCCATGTTCACACGTTTTTCTGAATGTTTGTTTCCTTGTGCTCATGGATTGGATGTGGCTCTGTGACATGGCTTCTTTGAAAGTCTCCAACTGGGGCCAGCAGGTGGTATAGTGGTTAAGGCACTGACCAACTGTGGTTCAAGTCTCGGACCTGGCAGCTTGAAAATCATGCTGGATGCTTGTGCGTTCTTACCCAAAATCCCAGGAGGAGAATGGACTGTGGTGTGGCCAACCCCCTGGGGGGGGGGGATTCTCACTTTCCCTCTCACTGTCTCTCTCTCTCTCTCTGTTGAGCTCACACACCCTATGGCAAAAACCTAAACAAAACAAAACCAAACAAAACTCCACCTAACACTGTGACAGTTGTCTTCTGGGCATTGCGATAAAACATTTCTGAGTTCCACCTAATGGAAGTGAAGACCTAAAACCAGCTATAGAGATTGTGTTGATGATGACTAAAGGCGAACAGAGGAAAAGGTGTACAGAAGAATATGGAAAAAATGAAACTTTCTGCAAAGAATGATAGGCAGCAAGCAGATGGGTTAATTGGCATGCACAGGGCTTGGGGCCACCTCTAGGTTGGAACTGCTGACTACGGATCCCTGGTCTGAGGAATTCACAGCGAGAGTAGTCACTCCACTTGGCCAAACCAGGGGTGATGTTCAAAGCCCTCTTCTACCCACATGGCCTCAGCAAGGACTGTGAGGTGACAGTCACAGGTCCCTGGGATGACTGCATCCTGGGGGCACCTGGCCCTGGCTCTTCCCAGGCCGCATCACCTTGCAGGCGTCTGTAGGGACCGTTACAAACTCCATGTGCTAAATCTCGATGACAGCTTTGCCCAGGCCATGTTGCTTATTTGCATGTTGGCCTCTCCTGGTGTCTGGGAGCTTGCTGAGGGCATTTGGCTGGGCTGCAAAGACATTTATAGAACTCGTGCTCTGCGCCAAGCCCTACTAGGCTGAGTTTTAGGGGAATGAGTAAGAGTCGGTCCCTGCGCTGGCAGAGCTTAGCCTGACTACTGAGCTGAGCACATGACGAGGGAGTGTGCACCCTGCACTCGAGACTGAATGGCACTGAGGTCGGTCAAAGCATGGTGAGGGAGGAGGAGCTGGGGTGTCATGTAGCCCAGGGGATCCAGGGGAAGAAGCCAGGATAGAAGAATCCTCATTTATATATGACTGTTTGACTTTGGATAATGGTTTGTTCTCAAAGATTCATGATTTTGAAATTTAGATGGTGCCTATTACTAGAAATCATGTGTCCCAATATTTACTGCACTGTAAAGGTATTGAGTGGCTTTCCAGGGTGGGGACCCTGGGATCGAGGTCTTATGGATGTGTGAGCAGAGGGAATGAGACACAGAAACTGCCATGCTACTCAGTGCCCCGTCCTCCGCCACGGTATAGACCAGCGCCTTCTGCCTTTGGACTTTCCAGCCACCAAACCGGGAGTCAAAACAAACCCTAGCTAGCACAGCTGACATATCCTTACACATGTATCCAAATCTGATCCTAGGCATAAACCCCAGGGAGTAGAATGCACATACTATAAAGTAGTCCCCAGTTGTGTCCATACACCTCTCTTCAGTCATCAAATGTGCATTTTTTTTCCTCCTGCTTATTATTATTTTTTTTTATATTAAATTATATTGCCTAACACTCATTCCCTGAGTATCATCACAACACACCAAGTGTAGTTTCCCATCTAGGATAAACTGCATAGTGTCTCAATCAAGCATGTCATCACCAATACTGTTCCATTTCTACTTTCATACATATAAATATGTTTTTTATCCTATGTTTGACCCTCAGCCCTTTCCCCCTCTCCCAATTACTCTATCTCTTCTATGGACAGCTATCCTCCAGAGGGGTCATTGAAAATGCGATACCTGCGAGTAGAGGGAGAGGGGCCAGGAGTCCAAAGTTTTTAACAATAGGGAAAATAGATTCCATTCAAGGTTGGATCAAGTGT